AGCCATGTTGGCTTGGCTGGCCGGGGAATTTTGGGCGTTGAAGTCCACAAACTCTTAAAATTATCCGGATTGGACATCGCTGCTTTAAAGCTAAAGGAAGTGGATTTGTTGTCAGGGATTTTGGATGATTCATTATGTCCATAAAGATTTCTTCCAGCCAAACTTATGTTTGTGACCCAAACATGTCCTTGGCAATATTCTGTTTTTCCAGGGATGTTTCTTTCCGCCTCACTGTGAAGCCATAACCCCAAAATTCCCAGAGGTGTTTTATCAAAGTGCTAACAAGCCCATCCTGTTTAGCTTCTGAGGCCAGAGAAGATCAGCCAAAGTCCCAGTGCCTGCTAAATCCTCATTAATCATTAATAAGGACCAAAACTGTAGATAAGAAGTTGGCTCCCCCAAAGATATTGCAGTGTTTGCTTTACTGGTTCTTTGAAGATTAACACAGAGCTGGACTCACAAAACACAGTAGGTAAGATTCACAGAGAGTTGATGTTTTAATCTGTTCCAGAAATTCAGCATATTCTGTGACCTCTTTAACCAAGGCTCTCAACTCTTAACGGTTTATCTTTCGAGGCATTATCTGTTGTGTGTCAGACTGTGAAGTCGCACAAATCGGATCAAAAGCATAGACACAGGAATTGTCTTTTGTTCACCTACGGCGAGATTGTGGCCTTTTTATCTATCTCTATATAAGCAAAATACCACTCATGCATCAGTACAAAAATCTCCAGAACCGTAAAGCCTACAAACTTGAAATTTGGCTTCTAGGGGCTCACTAAGAAAGGATACGGCAGCTTGGAAACTGAAAGTGTATTCCATAAATAGTTTTCAAAGATAATAACTAGGAGACTGAAGTTTCTGCCGGCAAAATTCTAACTGGAGAACATGATTGATGATTCTTGGCTATGGATGTGTCCCACTGGAGAATATGAATTATGATACACTCAGAGAAGTGGGGGGAAAACCAGGGTCAAGGGTGACAATGAATGATGTGTCTCAGAGTCGGCTACATCCAGGCAGTGCTGGACATGTTAATTCCCAATAAATCCTTTTGAAGTTTTGAAAGTTTGGCTCGAGACTTACGATTTAATTGGGGGAACTGCTAGAATCCTGACAGCTATTTTTGTCAAGGAGAAAGCAGAAAGAAGCCTGAAACTTACTTGAGACTTGGAAGATCTTCCATTTAATTGTTTCTTCTTCTTTGTGTTCCTTAGACTTCCCGTGGAGGTGGATCCCACCACAGTCTTCGCTTCCTTGTCCCCTGAGGGTCTGCTGATCATTGAAGCTCCTCAGATACCTCCTTACTGTCAGTACGGGGATGGCAGCTATGGCAACGAGATTCCCCTGGATACCCAAGAAGCCACCTGTGCCTGAAGAAGACCCTACCCTTCCCCCGAAAAGAAGTCCCTTCCATCTTTTTGACTACCCCCTGCAGCTGCCTTCACTCAAAGCCTTCTTCCTTGTAGGTGTCCTGGTCAACCCTACTCTTGAATGGACTTGTTGAGCTCCCGCATTGGGCTTGGGGGCCGAGGGAGAGGAAGGGTAGCGTTGACCTGGTCTTTGAGACTTTCAAATCAGTGGTGTAAAATTATATTCATCGGGGATGCCCTCTCTCAAACAGGGGTGATGTTGAGTCAGAAGGATTCAGTTCAAGAAAGCTTCTTTGATTTTATCATGTAGCATATTTTGGGGCGGGGGGAGGAGAATCCTTTCCGGAAGATTTTGAGGAAGTGTTGAAAGTTAAGATTGGTTCTTTAGATCTTTCAGGATAAAGATTAAGAGCCGGGGCAAATCCAGAAGAAGGGAGGGAAACCTTGCAATGTGACTTCAAGGGGAAGTAAACTTAGTGGCACTGTTGTGTCCATTTCCCACAATGCCTGGTGTTGGCATTGCACTGGGGCATTGTGGGAAGTGAGCAGGCTAGCTCCGCAACTTTCTAAGCCAGGACATCTTCACTGCATGAGGGATGTACAATAATCTTTGGTCCTGCTGAGAAGGGACTCCATTCACCATCCAAGCTTTCATTGATTCCATGTTCAGAAACGGTCAAAGTTCCCAGACCCATCATTCTGATCTAGGCCTCTTTATCGCTTGCTTCATCATCCTACCAATAGAGATCCTAGCCTTTGAAACGAGGAAGTCATTTTGCCAAAACACGCCAAGAGATCGTTTCAAGGTATCTGGAGATCTTGCGAAGGTCTCATGAAATGTTTGGTCTTCTCAAATGGAGAGATGGAGCAATTAAGGCCAAGATAGGTCATCAGCCCCTGGTGGAGGACTCACCTCCAAGATGAAACCTGATTCATAACACAATTTTTGTCCAAGAACCATTTGGGGGTGATTCCTCTCCAACTTCTACACCAACCTTGGCCATTTTAAGACTTGTGGACTTCAACTCCCAGAAGTCCACAAGTCTTAAAGTGGCCAAGGTTGGATGGAATGAGACAATTCTTCATGACCACATGACCCTACCCAAGTTGGACGCCCCTGTTCTACACCATGGGCTGCTGAAGTCTCACCTAAGTGCTTAAAGTTCTACTACTGATATTGCACTAAAATAATTTATCTGAGTTGCTATCCTCCATCCAAGTTTACAGATGTCCAGAGCACTGATTTACGATGCGTTGAAGAATATATATATTTTTAAGTTGTTCTCAGCACACTTGGTTCTTTTCTCGCTGACTTGTCTTCATCATAAAAGAGTCTCTTTTAATCTCAAGGGCTGATCTGGCCTCTGATCCCAAAATTGCAATTGTAACAGTGCTGCCATCGCCTTGTCCTTCTTCCGTAACTGCTCCTAGCCAGAACACCCATTTCTGTTCCCCGGTTTCATGGAGGACTTAACTGATATATTGTCATTGTTTTTTTCCTGTATACTGTATCCGATGTAGCAACCAACTGTCCTTAATAAACGTTTGGGTATATGTGAGGTATTTATGCCAATAGGAATAAGTAATTGTTGTGTTTCATATTTCTTTCCTTGGTGGAGTGTCCCACCACAAGCACACCTGGGTTTTAGGGAACAGATTCCTCTAAAATGAGAGGACATTGAAATGTGACTTTGGGGCAGAGGTGGTATTCAGCCGGATCTGACCAGTTCTGGAGAACCGGTAGCAGGAATTTTGGGTGGTTCGGAGAACCGGCAAATACCACCTCTGACTGACCCCATCTCTTCTCTGCCTCCCATTGAGTCCCAGCTGATTGGCTGGGTCTCCTTTGGTTGCCCTGCACAGGAGAACAGAGCTGGAAAGCAGGTTAGTGGGATGGGGAGGGAAAGGGGATTTTGCAGTATATCCTTCCCCTGCCACACCCAGCAAGCCACACCCACAGAACTGGTAATAAAAAAAAAATTGAATCCCACCACTGCTTTGGGGTTGTTCCTAAGCCTGAGAATCTGGTTGGATCTTCCAAGAGCTGAAAGTATAAAAAGGGGTGAATTGGCAACACGAGCATCTTGCAATCCCAACTTCTCTACCCCAGGAGGTCCTAGTATTGGGAAGGACCACAGGAGGACCACGTATGACTGACATGGAAGTTCTAGAGAACCTACCATGAGGTCCCACACTTGGATAATTCAACTGGTTCTTCAACAGGAGACAGCCTTATCTTCTTTGAAAAGGGATGGACGGATGGACGGATGGATGGAGCAACATGATGAATGGATGGATGGATGGATGAACAGATGGGCAGACAGATGGATGGATGGACGGATGATGAATGACATGATGAATGGATGAATGGATGCTTGCTTGTGACGGATGGCTTTGAGTTACTTTACTTCTTGAAGCAATGGATGAAATGATACTCCTGTATTCACTCACCCATACACACCCCACACACAATGGGCTCCAGTACTCACTTGTTGCAACATACAGTGAGAAGGTGTGCTTTCATTCTTTTCTGGTTCTACACACTAACTTTGGTGGTGGCCATGTCACACTCTCTTGTCAACCTCACAAGGCAGACCAGGCATGACAAAAAAAAACACCACAGGAGCTAGTCCCAAAGATGCTTTCTCAAAAGGCAACTGGACTTCCTTTTAATTTTTTTTTGAAGACATTTCGCTTCTCATCTGAGAAGCTACTTCAGTTCCCAAAGCCAACTGGACTTCCTTTGCTTTTTCTTGAAGATGTTTTGCTTCCCAGCGAAGAAGGTTCTTCCGTTCAGAACTGACAACTATGATGGATGTCCGAGAATCTCCATAGACATAGGAGCTAACACTACTTATTGTTAGATTACATTGGTAGAATCTTGCAAATCTCAAAGAACACTTCTCCCTTTGTCTCGCTACATCTCCTTTATATAGCCCAAGAAACTATGGAGGGTCCCTTGTCCAGCCCATGATGCTGCTGTGGGCTGAGCTGCCTTTTATCTGATTATTCCCTTAGCTGCCTCTTGTTGGATTGTGTGCACAGGGTTTACTTCTCTTCTGTTGTGTTCTCATTGTACGCTAAATCATAAGTAATATACAGAATTCTTTATTGGCCAAGTGTGATTGGACACACAAGGAATTTGTCTGTGGTGAATAAGCTCTCAGTGTACATCAAAGATATAAGTGCTGAATCATGATCACATCATAAATACATCACGAATCGTAAGATACAACACTTAGCGATAGTCATAGGATACTAAATAAGCCATCCACATAAATCCTACTAGGAACTAATCATAAAAATTGTAAGGTTAACTGTAAGGTTATAGTCATAAGCAGAAAATGAGATAGGTAATAGGAAAGATGAGAAGAAGAATAGTAATAGTCTTTGTCAATCGTTGGACAGGGTTGAGGGAATTACTTGTTTAGCAGAGTGATGGCGTTTGGGGAAAACTGTCTTTGTGTCTGGTTGTTCTGGTGTGCAGTGCTCTATAGTGTCGTTTTGAGGGTAGAATTGTAGAGGGACAGTTTACGTCCAGGATGTGAGGGGGCTGTAGTAATAATAATAATGTCTAACGTTGCCTTTGGATGCTGCCCAACCCTGTGTCCACGCAGAGTGGGTTGACACCCTCTTCTCCGATGTATCCGTGGGCCAACAAATCTAGCTGGGTGGCTGAGTTGACTCACCGCCTTCGGGGCGGCTGTTCCTCCCATTATTTATGACTAAGCGGCCTCGCCATCAACGCCATTCTGCAAGGAGGCATTTCAGTGTTAAGCAGGTCTTTTCCAACAAAGTCTCACTGAGAGCCTCGGGTGAGGGTGGAGAGAGAATTACATTCCACGGGGCTCCCAAAACAAACATGTTCTGACTAAGAGGTGAAGGCACATTTGGTAAAATGTGCTTTCCCTAATGGCTCTCATCTCCACATCCTTTGGGGTCACTTGCTACCTGAGCCCAAAATGGGAACGTAAGGGAACCGGGAAGCAGTGGCCGCAGAGAAATGGACCTGCGAAAGCAGCAGTGACCAATCTTTGTGGCTCAGTGGCATGGGGAGAGGGGAATTGGGCCACATGAGGTTAAGGACCACTGGACTATAAATGTCTATGGTTTTTAAGTCCTCCAGGTCATGGTTGTCCCAGAGACAACCATGGTTCAAGAGACAACTGGATTTTCTGGTTTTTCTTTGAAGAAGTTTTGCTTCTTATCCAAGGAGCTTCTTCAGGGGTGGTATTTTACCGGTTCAGACCGGTTTGAGAGAACCAGGTGTTAATTTCCTGCTTCTGGAGGGCCTCCAGAGCCCAGGGGAGGCTGTTTTCACCCTCCCAGAGGTCCAGGGGAGGCCTCTGGACCCTTGAGAGGGTGAAAAACGGCCTCCCAGGGGTCCGAGGGGCCCACCGGAAGTCGGAAGTTCCGGTAGGTCCCTCCCATCATGGCCATGCTTACCCAGCCACCGAGCAGCGAACCTGAGCTGGGATTTTTGAATCCCACCCGTGAGCTTCTTCAGTTTTCAGTTCAGTTCTTCTTCAGAACTGAAGAAGCTTCTTTGGATGAGAAGTGAAACCTCTTCAAAGACAAAAACCAGAAAGCCCAGTCGCCTCTTGGGGAAAAAAAGCAACTTTGGGACGCTAGACGAGATGAGATCTCCATGGTCTTTTCATTCCTGCGTTCTATTGCTCTCAGGGAAAAGCTGAAAAACAATTCCCACTTCCTGATATTGCAGGAAACATGGAAGGCCATTCTGTTGCTTAAAGATGTGGCTAGCTCAAAGATTTCCCCTGGTGATCAGTGGTTTGCTTTATCCGGCATGCTCCATTCCACTCCGAAGCCGTTACAGCTGGGGGGGGTGTGGAAAAGGGAGAGGAAAAGATAATAGCCGTCGAGCCAACTACATTACATTTTATGGTTTCGTGGCAATTACGCTGCATTTTATGGTGTCATAACATATTACGTTTTATGCCTTAATATTGGCGTTCATACTGAGACAGGGATGCACAGAATTTTAAGAAGGAGAAGAGTCTCTACGCGGAACAAAAAGAAGCTTTCAGCGGGAGGGGGACTGGAAAAGACACGGCAGTTGAGACGGGAAATTCACTTAATGATAGATCAGTCAATCAGAACAGAGCTGGAAAGGACCTTGGAAGTCTTCTAGTCCAACCCTCCCGCTTAAGCAGGAGAATAGACCGTTCCAACGATTGTCCAACCTCTTCTTTAAAACCTCCAGCGATGGAGCATCCACAACTTCTGGTGGCAAGTTGTTCCACTGGTTAATTGCTTGTTAACATTGCTTAGAATGTTAACAACTGGTTCTAGCGGAGAGGTACGAACTGGTAGAATCCCACCCTAGTCTCTCTGCTAACCTTTAATGGACTTTTGCTGATCAGGATGGAGGATTAAAAATCGGTTTATGAATAAGAAAGGAGATATGAGAAGGAGGAATTATTTGTTGTGTTGGAAGAGAAGGAGATAAGAGACTAACTAATGGAAAGAGAGAGAAATTCCCAATGAGGTGATAAAGAAGATATTGATATGTGCTGAAATGGATAGATTGACTCTGGAATTAAAAAAAATAAGGAAGAGACAGAATACTACAATAGAATAGAATAGAATAGAATAGAATAGAATAGAATAGAATAGAATAGAATAGAATAGAATAGAATACTTTATTGGCCAATGTGATTGGACACGCAAAGAATTTGTCTTGGTGTAAATACTCTCAGTGTACATAAAAGAAAAGATACATTCGTTAAGAATCAAGAATCATAACGTCCAACACTTAATGATAGTCATAGGATACAATAGAGTAAAAACAAAATATGGAACCAATTTTATCAATGGTGGGAAAAGAAAGGAAGAACCCAGAACAAAAAAGGAGGATCTGTAGAATGGGTAATTATGAATAAAAATGAATTGTACAAGTCTATAAATGCATAAATGTATATCAAATATGTATTATATATGATAACTTATATAAGAAGGAACATCAGGACGACTACACCGTGTCCAATATTTTAATAATTTAATCAATAAAAATTTTTTGGGGAAAAAAAAGATAAGAGACTAACATTGTTCATGCTTGTTATAAATTAATAATATACAGGTACTGCTCCACATTACCAGCCCAACTGGGCCCAACATTTATGTTGTTAAGTGATACAGTTGTTAAGTGGGGTTTGCCCCATTTTATGACCTCTCTTGGTTGTTAAGCAAATCTTGGCTTGTCAGAAGGTTGCAAAAGGGGATCACGGGGCACTGCCACCGTCATAAATATGAGTCAGTTGCCTCTGAATTTTGACCACGTGACCTTGAGGATGCTGCGAAAAATGGTCGCGAGTCCCTTTTTCCAGTGCCGTCGTTAACTTTGAATGGTCACTAAACGAACTGTCGTAAGTTGAGAATTACCTGACGGATTGCCACATCTGGAATCAGCCAAGGGAAGTCCCTTCCTTTCCATCACCACCCCATCTCTCCCTCCTCCTCCTCTTCTACTGCTCTCTCCTCTCATGCATGCAATTTGATTAATCCAGGCAGATTAACCTCTCTTTAACTTTCTTGATTAGCTGCATTTTAAAATTTCCATTTGTTTTCCTTTTTCATCAGGAGAGAGACTCATTTGCATTGATAAAAAAAAAAGAAGAAGAGTCTGCAATCTTTTTCAAAATCAGTGCAAAACTCGTGCTTGGAATCCCAAGGACTTTTCATGGAAAACTTGAATGTGTGGGCACTTGTATTTACACACGCACACTCACATAGACGGTGTGTATATATGTGTGTGTGTAGGATTAAGTGATTGGCATTGATTATCCAGATTATTTCCTCAGCTTGAGCAAAAAATGAGCCAATTCTTCATTAATAAATTAATGAAGAGTTAATTAATACATTTATTTATTAATAAAATAAATTCATTAATGCATCAGCGCACAAGGGGGCGTGCATAAGTGCACCAACGTGCTGACCATCTCTGTCCTATTGTTTCTTCTTCTTTTTTCTTATTCGTATCCATTTCATGTATTCATAACCATGTTTATACTTATACCTGTTATCTAACAATTGCTTGACAAAATAAAATAAATAAAAAATAATCTGTTTGTATGTTTGCAGCTTAGCCTGTTCTGTGAACTCAAGTCCAGCTAGTTATCTTAGGTTATATTGTGGAAACTTTCTGAAATGAATTAAAACCCAGTAAACTGGTTAAGTTTGGCGCTGTAAATGCAGCCCCTAAAAAAGAATCTGGTTAATCCAGATTAAGAGGTTATAGTAGGAGGGGCGAGCTCATCTTTACGTATGAGTATCACTCAACTCATTCAATATCTTTCGTTCCAAAATAGGGTTAGTGTTGATGGCAAACTGAAAGGACAAACTACATTCTGCCTGCCTGCCTGCCTGCCTGCCTGCCTGCCTGCCTGCCTGCCTGCCTGCCTGCCTATCTATCTATCTATCTATCTATCTATCTATCTATCTATCTATCTATCTATCTATCTATCTATCCTTTCTCTCCTCTCTTCTTCTTTCCCTTCTCTCTCCTTACTTTCTTCTTCCCTCCCTTGCATCTGTCTCTCTGTCTGTCTGTCTGTCTATCTATCTATCCATCTACCATCTATATTCAGAAGTACAGAAGACCCTATACTATTCCAGACACATGGCTGTCCAATCTCTTCTTCAAAACCTCCAGTGAAAAGAAGCTATTCTAGTAGTTTACTGTCTTCTTCACTGTTGGGAAATTTCTTCTTCGTTCCAGGTTGCTTCTCTCCTTGATTGATTTCCATCTATTGCTACTTCTGCCTTCAGGTGCTTTGGAGAAGAGCTCGACTCCCTCTCCTTTGTGGTTTTGGGGACAAAGAAGATCCGTTGCGTCAGCATCAACACACGAGCAAGAAAAAGCTTGTTTTCTCCACCCTAGTTTTTTTTCCCCTTCGGCCACACAATGGATCCTTCAGCCAAGAAAAAAAAAAAACCCACTCAGCTTTGATGCTTCAGGAACAAGAAAATCAACAATGCGATGCCAGGTTGGATCCGCGTCGAGCTGCTGAGAATTATGCGCTGGCAGCCACATCTGGAATGACCCATGACTGAATCACAGCACGGGTTGAATGTCGCCCATTTGTGCCCCCCGTTTTTAAGAACCCTTTGCCCTGAGCTAAATGGGTGCCCTGGTTTCAGCGAGGATTGTTCCCACACCATCCCTTCAGCTGCCATGGAGACTAGATGACAAACTCCACAACTTAGAAGTTGGCTTCCTGCCTGCTTCCCCAAAGGCAGGTGTGGCCATGCACGCTCCCCACAATGGAGTGCTGTACGCGGGCAGTGCCAATTACATGCAGTGACTCAACCCTAAGATATAACATTTAATTATTAAAATTATCCAGGAAGGCAAAAGTAACAATTAGATGGGAAGAGGCACAGGTTATGCATGCATGCATGCATTCATTCATTCATTCATTCATTCATTCATTCATTCATTCAATTTCTTCAATTTCTAATCCTCAATCTCAATGGAAAGAGAGAGAGACAGAGACAGAGAGAGACACAGAGAGAGAGAGACAGAGAGACAGAGAGAGACTCAGAGAGAGACAGACAGAAAGAAACAGAGAGAGAGAGAGAGAGAGAGAGAGACAGAGACAGAGACAGAGAGACAAAGACACACAGAGAGAGAGAGAGACAGACAGAAAGAAACAGAGAGAGAGAGAGAGAGACGGAAAGGGAGGTAGGCAACCCGGAGACTGTACATCCCTCCTTTTCTTTAATTAATGAAATAAAATATAAAGGCCGCTGCAAAAAGAGAAAAAGGAAACAAAGAAGAAAAAAAGAACCCCGAGAAAATTCATTCATTCATTCATTCAGTCCTGCATTTATTTATTTTTTTTAAAAAGGGCAAACCGTCTGGGCGGAAGCAGCTTCAGCTGGCTTGCTACGGACAGCGTCGAGGGACATACCAGCCCACGCGTTCGCCCCCCCCCGTTGCGGTTGCCAAGGGCAACAGGCGACGCCGTCTCCTCTCTGCCCCGCCTGCCTTCCAAAGCAGTTGGCGCTGGGAAGAGGGCAGGCTAAAGACGGCAGGGAGGGAAGGGGCGTCTCCGAATCGGGGCGGGGGAGGGTCGCGGCTGGAAAATGCCTGCCTCTTCTTTCGTGGAAGCCCCCACCCCAGGCCTTGGGCTTAACTGGAGCCTTATAAAGCCCAGGGGCAGTTAGGAAGAGAAGGAAGCCGTTCTAAAGGGGAGGGGGCGCGCTAGAAGGAAAAGCAGCCCCCAGGTCGTGCCTGGGAGTGGAGGGGGGGATCTTTTGGGCTGGAATGGCTTTGGAGTGAGTGGGAGCTTCAGGGAGCCTCGGTTTCAGCCATGAGACCTTTGGGGTTTTTAGTTTCCTAGAGGGGCTCGTGAAGGACTAGACCTTGAGGACTAGTGTCTTGAAAATAAAAGTTGGGGTAGAGGAGCCCAAACCTTCCAACCTAGAGTAGCTTTGAAAGTCGGGGATGGTGAAGATGGGGTGGCTGTGAAGATAGGCTTGGTAGCAAGGCTGAAGGGTACTCTGAGGGACTAGGAACTTGGTAAGAGGAAGGAGAAAGAAAAGGAAGTGGGGGCAGAGAGAGATAGGCATAGGGGGCATGGATGTCACAGACTCGGAAATACGGCCGTAGTAGGGAAATTCAGAGAGCTGGGTCCACATTAGATCCAAACTGGGTTTAGATCCCAGTGGGGGTCTCTCATCACGGCTTGTTGGAAAGCCTGGTTTTAATTTCTGGAGGTTTGAAGAGCCCCAAAGGGGAAGTGGGAGGCGCTAAGCTTGCTTTGTCTTAAGCGTTAGCAGTCCGTCTGTCTGAGATTAGCGGCTTTGCTCCTCCTGGGAAGCCAATCGGGAATCCTGGCTTGGATGACGCCAACAGCCCAACATGCTTGGAGCAATGGTGGTTTGCTTTGATGGGCTGAAAACCCCTGATTGCCCAAGACAGTGAATCCGAAGAGAGTATTTGCTTGTAGATTCGGGGTTTTTTTGTTACAAGGGCTTGCCTCAAGAAATCAATAGTTTATTGATCAATCGATTACTTGAGTTTCTAATTGGAACCCGGCCCCCCTGGGGTAACAGAGGCAGGATGCCCCTGAACCCCAAAATCGATCCTCGCTACTTCGTGCTGATCAGGCCACTGCCTATCCCTCCCCAGAAAGGTTTAAAGATCCAGGCGCGGAGCAAAACCATTTACAATTGCTGGGATGTCCCAAGAGAACAAGTATTTCGAGAGAGCTATCATCGGAGAGCCAAACAACTCTCTCAACAGGGGTATTTTACCCCCTGCTGGAAACCCTATCAGGATTTCGGAGATCCCCTTTACCTTGATCCCAGGAAACTCACCCTCCATGGTCTGGGGCAGCTACCTCCGGTAAGTGTGTGCCTCTCTCGTTAAATCTTCAGTTATCCATTAAATCATCAGTTATCCATTAAATCATCAATTCTTTAAGTTATCAGTTGTCCATTAAATCAGTTATCCGTTAAATCATCAGTTGTCCATTAAATCAGTTGTCTGTTACATCATCAGTTGTCCGTTAAATCACCAGGTATCTCTTAAACCATCAGTTATTCATTATCATCAGTTATCTGTTAAATCATCAGTTGTCCGTTAAATCAGTTGTCCGTTAAATCACCAATTGTCCATTAAATCACCACATCTGTTAAACCATCAGTTATCCATTCAGTCATCAGCTATTGGTGAAATCATCAGTTATCAATGTCTTTGTCATTCTTACTCTCTGTATATCATTCTCTTTCTACCTCTCTCATCCTCTCTCTTGTTCTCATGCTTTCACTCTTTCTCTTGGTCTCTCTTTCTCTAGTTCTTATCTCTCGTTCTCTCTCTCTCTCTGTCTCTCGTTCTTTCACTCTCATGTTTTCTCTTTTAAACGCAGACTACACAAGGGCGGAGGAAAAAAATGGTGCTTTTCAGATACTACATTGCAAGGGTGAATAAGACCAAGGGCGAATCAAATAACTCCGGAATTTTTCCCAGCCTAAATTTAAGTAAGACTTTAATTGGATTTATGTCGGAAACAGCTCGTGCATTTTAAAAGCAGCAATCCAATTATACTGCACAGCATCTCTGCTAATGTTTATTCATAGTATTCCAGAAGTAGGCAGGCCGAGGACCAAGAGGCAGCAGCTCCGCATGTTCTTAGCAGACAGGAGAAAAAAAAAAATCTGTTCGGAATAAAAATACGATGCAACAAACAAAAAACGTTGATATCGGTGTATGCACCAGCAGAGAGGATTTCCCCCTTATGAGCACCGTTGCAAAGCTTTCTCCTGCTTGTTGTTTTAACAATACTCATTAGAAACTATTTCTAGATGGCCATTAAGCATGGAATCCTCCCACCGTAGCTGAGAAATTATAGAAAATATAACGTTATCCAGGATTACGCTTCTGGGCACTGCAAGGAATAAAAAGAGACCTTTTAGATTGTTCCTGTTAACAAGGTTTCGATGTCAGCCAAACCAAGAAAAACCGAAATCCTGCTATAAACCATGGTTAAACAAGCATTTGAGCCTCTGGCAAGCCGAATCTGCATGGCAGCTTTGCGTTGGAAAATAAAAAATTTTCTTGTCCTGCCTTCAGGTGCTTTGGAGAATAGCTTGACTCCCTCTTCTTTGGGGCAGCCCCTGAGATATTGGAAGACTGCTATCATGCCTCCCCTTAGTCCTTCTTTTCATCAGACTAGACATCCAATTCCAGCAAACATGCTTTATATTTTAGCCTCCAGTCCCCTCATCATCCTGGTTGCTCTTCTCTGCACCCTTTCCAGAATCTCAACATCTTTTTTACATCGTGGTGACCAAAACTGAATGCAGCGTTTCAAATGTGGCCTTACCAAGGCATTGTAAAGTGGTATTAACCAACTCCACTTTCTTTTTTACTTTTTTTTTTTCCCTTGTCGTTTTTCTCTCATTATAGCTTCCTAGAGCCAGGGGCGTCCTAGCCCAGCAGAATTCATGGGACACAGCCTGATCCATACCATATTATTCAAAGGGAATTTTTTTCCCCCCGCCTTTCTGACGGAAGGCTAGTTTGAAACCCCCCGAAGGCTTTGGAGAATTTCTCGAGCTCATCTAATTCATTTCATGTTTTGCTTCCGCTGATTTGCCACTTTTAATTAAGCTTTTGTGTTTTTTACAGGCGTGAGGATTTAGTGAAAAATAAATCTGAATACCAGAAAGAAAGAAAGAAAAAGAGAGAGAGAGAGAGAGAAACGGCAGACAGACATTAGCAATTAACATTAATAATGCATACTTTAAGAATCTGTTTAAGAAAAATGTACAGTCTTGAGTTTGGAGCGTCTCGCCGAAACAGGCAAAATATAATAGCTTTTATTCCTTTTCAATTAGCATAGCGTACGTGGAATATGTTCTCTGCCATCGTTCTGAATCTCCAGCAAATTTCCGCCTTAAAAGTAAAACTAAACACAGATAGGTCTTGAGTTACAACCGTTCCTTTAGTGACCGAAGTTACAAACAGCATTGGGGAAAAAAGTGCTTTTTTTTCACACTTACAACCGTTGTAGCATCTCGATAGTCACATGATCCACATTCGGACATCTGGTAACTGGTTCCTATCGATGAGGGTTATGGAGTCCCAGGATCAACGTTTGCAAACTTCTGACCAGCGAAGTCAAAGATATAGGCCGACGTATGGACAATCCTGAACAGGATTCGCACCTGCGTTCTGCCGGGACTCTCTGGATAAATGGGGGCAAGAGTATCCTCCTCCTTGGTGTGACTGTGGGGTGTCACATCAAACTGTGGGTCTCATCTTGACCGGCTATAAGCTGAGGGCATATAGCAAACAGCAATAGTCCGTAGATTTATATACCGCTTCACGGTGCTTTTACAGCCCTCTCTAAGCGGTTTTCAGACTCAGCCTCTTGCAAACCCCAACAATCTGGGTCCTCATTTTACCCACCTCGGAAGGACGGAAGGCTGAGTCGACCTTGAGGTGGTTGGGATCAAACTCCTGACTGGGCAGTTAGTCTACAATACTGATTTCTAACTACTGTACTGGAAGAAAAGGAAAGAAAGGAGAAAAGGAAGGCCAAAGCAATAGCAATAGCATTATATACCGCTTTACAGGGCTCTACAGCCCTTTCTAAGAGAGGGAGGGAGGGAGGGAGAGAGAGAGAGAGAGAGAGAGAGAGAGAGAGAGAGAGAGAACGAATATATGTATATATATGACTTTTTGATTAGAGCAGCAATGATACAAGGAAGGTTCTTCAAGAAAAAATAAACAAGCGTTAAAAGATGGAAAGAGTAATCTGATCTAGTCAATAGGGGCATGAGGGCAGCCGCCGAAACATTTGATGTCTGTTTCTCTTTTTTCCCTGTTAAAAGGTCTCAAAGTTGCTCAGAATCAAAGAGTAAAAATTGCAGTGTTAGATCAAAGATTAAAGCGAGCACTGAAAACAGTCACTTAGCCCAGATGGAACAAGTGGAAAGATTTGTCAATAACACAACAGGAAAGCCTCCTCCTCCACCTCCTCCTCCTCCACCTCCTCCTCCTCCTCCTCCTCCTCCTCCTCCTCCTCCTCCTCCTCCTCCT